TCCTTAAACTAACCTGGTTAATACAGCATATAACCTTCCCATCTCAAGGTCAGTTGATTAGCAAACTTAATTCCATGTTACTTTAATTCTCCCTTGCATTGTGACATAACATATCCACAGATTCCCTGATTAAGACATGGGCATCTTTTTGCGGGGAGAGGGGACTTATTCTGCTTATGACAGACTCCTTGAAGAAAGGTTTTTCTTGAAGTGATATCCAAGTTGACCTTAAGGACAAATGCTAGTCCACAAAGCCAGGCTCCAAGGAGGGAGTATTACAAAGAACAAACCGTGAAGAGGTTAAGACTGTTCTCTCTGGGCAGTGTAGAAAGCTCAGTTGTGCAGAGCAGGAAGGGGCAGGGTGGGCATGGCGAGAGCCCTGGTTGGAGAGTGAGAGGAGGTTGGATCTGAGCAGTGCGAAGCCCTTGGAAGACTGTAAATGGATGACTGAGTCATCAGGCTTGCCGTGTACTAAGGCATTTTCTGTGCGGCTGGTGCACACTGGCTGTCTCCGATCCCTGCCCTGGGACCTGCTGTGTGGTAACGCCTGATCAGAATAGCGTGGTGGTGCACGGGACCATCCTATCTACCTCTTTCTTTCAGTGGGGAATAGAGCAGGGCTGCAGAAAAAGAGTTGGAGGGCCAATCTTTTTCTTTTCACTTCAGATTTGAAAAAGATAAAGAGGCTGTAGCCATCATGAGTAAGTGTAGGATAGGACCACAGGGCCGATGATGTCTGAGATAACCAGATTTCTGTCTATGGAATACATTGTTATTTTGTCCTTTGACCATTCATCACGATCACAGAGGTCGTGAAGACCCCCGCACCCCACTCTTGGTTCACAGCACTGCTCACTCACTAGGAAACAAATCCCCTCCCCAGCGCAGACAGAGGCAGCTCGTCTTCTGTTCACTTCCTGTTCTGGGAGAGAGAGAAGGGTTCCATGTCTATGGAGACAGTGAAGGAATGGAGAGAAAATGCTGAAATTGGGACTGTAATCTAGTGTTCTTTCAAGTAAGAACCGTATAGCTGCAAGATTTTGAAAAGGCCTCCTCCTTTTAGGCACAGAGCTCTGTGTCACATGAGGGTTTCCTTTTGCTTGGTTACAATTTTAATGCTGAACTAGGTACAGGGATCAGTGTGAACCTCAAGGGACCCACAGCCGAGAAGCTGACCTTGGTTGTCTGACTCGCTTTTGAGGGGACCAGATATAAAAGGGGTGGAAAATGTGAATGATTTAATATACCATTCTTTGTTGAATTCTAAGCCACTGCTGACCTTCGTGAGTTTAGAGATTTTTCTTTGGAGCCTTCCTGCCCTTGTGGAATGAACTGGAGCCCCAGTTCCTATCTTTTCAGCCTCCAGTACTAGGAAGCAACTCAGTCCTCTTTTCCTGACCAGTGGCTCCTGTCACGCTTCAGGAGTCACCATGCCTATAAGTGACTTACACTAAGTTGACCATACTTACACTGCACAAGTTGATAAATTCTGACATATAGGGTCTGATAAGTTTGCAAACTTGTTGCAACGATGTTGCTAACCTCTTTTGATATCAGAGGGATTATTCATTATGAATTTGTACCAACTGGACAAACAGTTAACCAAGTCTACTATTTGGAAGTGCTGAAAAAGCTGTGTGAAAAAGTTAGACGACCTGAACTTTTCTCCAAGACTTCGTGGCTCCTGCATCATGACAATGCACCAGCTCACACAACACTGTCTGTGAGGGAGTTTTTAGCCAGTAAACAAATAACTGTATTGGAACACCCTCCCTACTCACCTGATCTGGCCCCCAATGATTTCGTTCTTTACCTGAAGATAAAGGGAATATTGAAAGGAAGACATTTTGATGACATTCAGGACATCAAGCATAATCCAACGATACCCCTGATGGCCATTCCAGAAAAAGAGTTCCAAAATTGCCTTGAAGGGTGGACTAGGCGCTGGCATCAGTGCATAGCTTCCCAAGGGGAGTACTTCGAAGGTGACCATAGTGATATTCAGCAATGAGGTATGTAGCACTTTTTCTAGGATGAGTTCGCGAACTTAATTGTCTGACCTTGTATGTATACACCCACCTGGAGATGGCATGTTGGGAGCTATAGACACAGGTTTATGGGAAATCACGAGTGTATAGAGAGATGAAGAGGAAGTTGAGAGGACAGATCAGGTCACCTGGTGGGTGGGGGGGGGAGAGCATGGGCTTCAGATGGAAAGTGGAGGATTACTGTCTTTAAATTATGGGTTTGAGAAGAAGCTCCTAATTCAATTTTCTTAAACATTTTAAGTACTTTCATTCAGCATGCACAATGCTGCGTGACTCTAGGTGATCATTAAAGTACTATTTCCTTCTTTCCATGGTCTCCAATCACACTCCTGTTTTCATTGTCAAATCTGGCATTTTGTGTAACGGGATCCACACAAGAAATGCAGAAACACAAAAGTCTCTGCTGCTAATTCTAGTAGTTGAGTAAAATTGCTCTCAAATGCCACTATTTAGGAATTATCTTTCATTCTTTTGTTATTAGAATGAAATTGAAGAAACCTAGTTAAATCTTAAGTTTTTCATTTTGTGTTTCTCTAGGGCATATACAGTAGAAACCAGAAGCTAAGAATAATACAAATAAAAGCAGGGCAGCTTTCTTGAGGGTGTGGAGGGGAGTGTTACAACACATCATGGTTATTGACAAATGGTCTTTGAAAGTATTAGTATTTTAAAGAGCACAATTTGAATTCTGATCCAGTGCTTTTATATATGAGGCCAAAAAGGCCGAATTTCTTCAGGGTCAAGTGATTGGTCCTTTGTCACACTGCTAGAGATACAATTAGTCCTGGCAACTCCTAATTCCTAGTGTAGCACTCGCCCTGCAAGGTGGTGCTGTTGCCTCATGGAGGGAGCCTCTGGCACTAGTCACTGTCTCCATCACCGTCTCCACTACCACTCACATCACCCCTGAAACACTCTGGGTTATTGAAAGTGAGAATAGAGTAGCAGGGAAAAGAGAAAAAAAAAAGTAATGTGTTCCATTGTTTTAGATGTCAAAGACCTGCTGGCATGTCAGACTAACAGGAGGTGCCCTGACATTTTCAGGGGGTGTTTTCTCTGATGGTTTATTAAGTCAGTCTCAGTCTCTCTCTCTCTCTCTCTCTCTCTCTCTCTCTCTCTCTCTCTCTCTCTGTTTAACCTGCTTTCAGGCTAACTCTCAGTGTCAGAGTGGGAATTCGACATGTCTGTTCCACTTGTCATTTTTGGTATAATGACATCTCATAATTGTATAGAAAGAACATTATAGTTAGCAAACAAAAGTTTATTGTTGCTCTGTGAAAACTGAAAATACTCCCCTAGGACTAAAGTTTTATTTGGTGAGCCACTTCATGAGGAATTGGAAGACTGGATTCAATCATAGTGATAGCTCACTTCTTTGGCTTCACTCAGTCCTTGGCATTGTATGAAATGTATGAAGAAACAGTCAACAACTGAAATGTCCATCAGTAGATGACTGGATTAAGAAACTGTGGTACGTTTACACAATGGAATATTACTCAGCTATAAAGAAGAAGGAAATCGTACCATTTGCAACGATATGGATGGACCTAGAGAACATTATGCGAAATGAAATAAGTCAGTCAGACAAAGACAAATACCATATAATCTCACTTATATGTGGAATCTAAAGAACTGAATAAATGAGCAAAGTAAACAGAAATAGTCTCAGAGATATAGAGGAAAAACTGATGGTTACTAGTTGGGAGGGGGTGGGGATGAGGGAGAAGGGGAAGGGATGAGACAGCATACATAGGTAACTACAATTTTGCCACAGGGATATGAAAGACAGTTTGGGGAATATAATCAATAATGTTGTAAATATTTTGTAGGGTGTCAGATGGACACATGTCTTGTTAGGGAGATTGCTTCATGGATGGGGTAGAGGCTTGACCACTGCACTGTACACCTGAAGCTGCCGTTGAATAATATTGTATGTCAACTATAATTTAATATATATATATATATTGTCACGGGATGTGGAGTAGACTGTGGGAATGGAGTCAGTGGAATTGTAATAGATTTGTATGATATCGGGGGTAGGAGGGCAGTGGATGGGGGGAGGAGAGTTGTCACTTTGTGAGGGGTGAAAAGGATAACTATTGCATTGTTTTGTACACCCGAAACTAAAAAAAAAAAGAAAAAGAAAAGAAACAGTCGAAAGGGGTTATGAAATTTGCTGAAACTTTGGCACTACAGAAGGCTCTGTTTGGTTTGAGATTCCTGAACATTCTGAATTCCTAGGCGCTTTCATTCCTAAGATCACTTCTGGTCTAACATTCTGCTCAAGGCTCCATCTGCTAGCATTTGCCGCCTGTGAATGTTCTCACTCCTCTACCCCAATTCAACCACCTTGCCCGAATTCCTCCCTCTGTGAACCACGCTCCCAAAGTATACGTATGTATGTACATGTAACACTTTTTACGGAAGGCTGCTGGCGGCGCTGGTGGGGTGAGGGCCTAGGAGAGACTGAAGGACAAGGGAGTGGAGCATAACAAACAAGTTCAAAACTGAGTTATATATACTATTTTATACATATTAAGTGCTATGCCAGTGTAAGGTATTCCTCTTGTTGTTTATGCTTTGATTGTAATAAAAAAGAAGGGACTGTACAGGGTTGACCACAATCTACATTGAATCATAGTTAAGTAGCAAAGAATAAATATTTGATTCTTGTGGTAGATTTGAGATTTAGACAATATGGGAGTTTCTTTCTGTGTCTTTTGTTAAAATGAATTCTTTATATTGATACATTCTAGCAAAGATAATCAAACTTTCCTAACAGGAAGTACAACCTTGTTTGGATAGTCAAGCTAAGTTAATAGTTGTTTCTTTGTTTCAAGTTATGTAACTGAGATTTGACACAATGAGCAATAAATAAATGCATTGGCAAGCTTGTGCTTTTTTTTTTTTTTTCTGTTTTACAAAGTGATTTTCCTTTCTTTTGAATTTTAGGAAACAGATATTGATGACAGATATGGAGATTTGGATTCCAGAACAGATTCTGATATTCCGGAAATCCCACCATCCTCAGATAGAACCCCTGAGATCCTCAAGAAAGCTCTATCTGGTTTATCTTCAAGGTATGATTGGTGAAGATGAATATTAATGGGTGCACAAGAGAAGTTCTGAGGTTATCCTGGTCCATGTATTAAATTTCACTTTTTCTAAGTTTTAGAGCTCTGAGAGAGAAAGCTCATGCTTTTTCACTATATATGAGGCATGCTACTAAATGCTTAAGGTGCTTTCTTTTTTGCTTTTTTTAAAAAAATTAAATCCCTAAAATCTTGTGAAGTATGAGAAAATCAAGTCTGAGAGATTAACTGATGGTTACAGAGCTAGTGAGATGCAGACCTGGGGTTCTTGTCCCGGGTTATCAGATTTCTGAAAGCAGTGATCCATTTACCACATCAGGTTGCCTTCTCTGATGTTGGAGTATGGAAAAAAGAAAATTCTATATTCTGTTCCCTGTTTTTCAAGTGCCAGACAGAAATAGGCCTTTCCCCACCCCCTTAATTGAATTTTAAATTATTGTTTAAAATTCCACAACCCTTTACTATTTTATATTTGTGCTATGTTTTTAAATGTGTAATCGCTACCAAATTTTTCAGCTAATTTTATATTGCCCTCCATATTATGCTTTAGTAACATAAATTATAAAATTTATAAAAGCAAAGGAAATGTAAGCTTTTATCCAGATTAATATGTAAAATCTCAAATGTTGATATAGAACAGTGTTTTTCCATCTTTTTTGACTGTGACATACAGTAAGAGATAGATTTTACACCCCATCCCAAGAGACACAACTGTATATTTTAACTGCTGCAAAAATGTTATGAAGCAATTCTTATAACTGTGTGCGATGCCCTCTATTTTTGTTTGATACTGTTCTGTTATTGAATGAAGAATGTTGGGTATGATTTACTAAATTGCTTATTACCTACCCATGGGGCATAATGAGAAAAACTGGTTTAGTCACATATCTAGTAAATGTAATATGAGTTTTTCTGTTTTTAATTCTTGGAGATAACCATATTATAATAAATTGCTTCAAAGCAAATTTTCATATTTTTTTAACCAATAGAACAAATTTTTGCCGTCCATTATTAAAAGCATGATTATTATTTTAATAGTCTTGATTCCCATTGTTTTCATGTACTAGTTCACAAATGCACCCTTGCTTTAAAAATCTTATCAGGTCTATCTCAGATTTGAAATTTTCTTATTTATTTATTTATTTATTTATTTTTTTTATTGGGGAATTGGGGGGATGGGAACAGTGCTGGGGAGTTGGGGGAAGGGGAACAGACAAGTTGCTATCGTTTTGTTATTCAATCTAGTTGTGGAGGATGTTGCTTCACTGGCCCAAGTTGGCACCATCATTGCGCTCTTCTCTGGCGAGGCAGATCAGTCGCCGGCTTCTGGACGGCCGCTCACTGCGGCTGCTGGCCGCTCATGCTGGCTGCTGGCCACACACGGTAGCCCATGGCAATCCACTGCCACAGGGACTGCAGCCCACGCCGTCGCTGGCGACTCATGGCAGCCCAGCTCCAGGTTGAGCTGTTGTTCAGCATCTTAGCTGTGGAGGGCAGTGTCACTGGCCCTCATATGTGGGATCCGAACCGAGGCCCTCTGGCATCCCAAGCGAGTTCTTAACCATCGCGCCACTCGGCCGGCCCATCAGATTTGAAATTTTCTTATGTTGATTTATATAAGAATGATGCTGGATTCCTATATGTCATTCAAAATAAATTTTTTTTCATTTTCTCAAAATAATTTCTTAATAATGAAGGTCTATCCCCCAGTATAAAGTAACAATAGTGAATAATAGCAGTTCATATTTATTGAGCACATACTATGTGCTCCAAGCAATTTACACCTATTGACTAACTTACTCTCAATAGCAACTCTGTAACACAGGTTCAGTTATATGCCTATTTTATAAGTGAGGAAACTGAGGCACAGAAATATTATATATCAAGGTTCACGTAGCTAATAAGCAATAGAACCACATTTTAAATGTAGGCATTGTGCTATATTTATGAAAGAACTAGTTTTAAAAAAATGAACAATAGATGATATGTGACCAATTTCAATATTCTCAAGAAACTTCACTATAAAGATAATATGAATATTTCAAAATGTATATCTTATTCATTTTAGCCTCTTTAGTACACAAAATAGTCTGCTTTGCAATGATTTAGATGTTGTAGATGCATAGGATTAAAAATACTGATTACATAAGAAATTTTCATGAATTGCAGAAAAAAACCCTATGATCCTCCCACCAAGACACTGATATTTAAAATATTGTGGCGTTTACTCTGAAGCTTTTTTCTTGTGCATTGTGTGTGTGGGTGTGTGTGTGTGTATGTGTGAGATGTAAAAATAGCATTGTTCTCTTTCCTGCCTTTCTATTGTCATTTTCATTCTGTGGTATTAGGAACAGCATCCTTAAATATATTTAAATATTTTTAGTGCCTGTATAATATATTCCTTTGTATGACTATAGTTCAATTTACTGAACTAAACAGCTATTGCTGGGCATTTAGCTGATTGCTAAATTCTCATGATTAAAGACAACTCTGCATTAAACATTTTTCTTTGTAGCTAACTTTTATTTAGCACCCATAATTACTTCCTTCTAATAAAATCTTAAATGTGAAATTGCTTGGTCAAGATTTATGCTCATTTTTAAGATTTTAATATATAACGTCAAAAAGAGCATAAGCTGTTGAAATCGGAAGGGCCTGAAAGGTCTTCAGTCACTTGGCAAGTTGTCCCAATCTGTTCCTTGACCTTAGTGTATGAATAGTAGCCCAGTAAGCCTGTCTCTGTCCTTTAGTGAAGCTCTTCAGCTGTGAGTCTACCTTAGTAGTTTTCATCCAGAGTCAATACCCTGGATTTTGCCTCCCCCCCCCTGCCCGACCCCCCGACTCCTCCCCACTATATAGTGAGAAACTTGGGGAGTCAAGTTAAAATAAATGATCTTGTTGGGGGAGGGGAGTTGTTCTCAGAGAGGAAATATCTATATAAAAGACAACCAGAACCAGATAGAAAATGTTCCTCCAGGGCCCAGGTTTTCAGTTACTGTGGAATTTTTGGATGACATTGAAGAGAGTATGTTCCCTATTTAAAAGCTCTGGTTCTCAGCAGCTACCATTCTCTGAAGTTCAAAGCCAGGCCTCTAACAGAGGCACATGTGGACATTGGCAGCATCTACCTAGAGGCTGATTTCTGACACTTAGGTACTGTCCTGGTCCCCAGAAGAGGTTTTCGATAATTCTGAGTCTGAGGGTTAGCTGTAAAGGAAGATTAATCCGCTTCTGGGTTTCCTGCAAGTGGGACGGGATTATCATCAGGAGACTGATTTAGATTAGGGCCCTTTATCTACCTCTGACCAGCTCTGTGACCTAGCCCAGTTTCCTAATCCATTCATTAATCCAGAAAGGGTTATATCTAGAAAACTAAATGGAACCTTCCAGCTATTGCTTTTTTGACTCTACACTCACTTCAGTTCAGCCCTAGAGTTTACAGTCTGCGAGAAATTTATGAGTCTATATAATTTGTTAAACAGTAGAGGGCAACAAAGTCGGGTAAGTACAATTTGACTACCTCATGGAAAACCTTGGAAGCTAGATAAAAGAGTTTGCACTTAATGTTGTTGGCATTTTAGATCTTGAGCGCAGAAATGACATGATAAAAGGGATAAGGTGTATTTGGACTATATAGGAGAGTTATTGAAAGCAGGGAATGTAATCAGTATTTGATAAATGGATGAAATCAGCTAATATTTCTTTTATGGGAATGAGAATAAAAGCCTGTGCTTAGATGTTATACATATATATTACTGTACTTTAAGTTGAACCCAAATCTTTTGTAACATAATTTAAATGTTATCATTTTAATAGAAATCAGAAAAATCTTAAAGAAAATACTTTACTCAGTAAAATGTAAAATTGAGTGTAGAATGAATAAAAGGAGTGACAGCAATTTTAGATTCAGGGGTCATCATCCATCCATGTATAGGTATACTTAGAATCATTCTGCATGTTTCATACAGCGGCTGCTGACGTTTTTCATAACCTGGCCACACAAAGAGTGACAATATTTGAAAGGTACACTGGGATGAGGTGTGGGGCTCCTGGGGGGTGAAGGAGCAATTGGGCCTCCCCTGGCCCTTAACTGACAGCCCGAGGACTGGGAGAGATGAAGTCTCAGCCTGCTAGGAGCTAGCCCGGTGTGCCAGCAGGGATGCTGTGCTCCAAGGATGCAGCAAAGGCTCAGGGGTAAGAAAATACTTTTCTACCAATGGCCCTGTCCCTAATCAAGGAAAGCAGGCAGCACACAGAGCAATAGGAGGAAGTGGCTTTCAGTCTGGCCTTGGCCTCTGTGACTGACCTCGTGCCTTCTTCATTTCACTGACATCGCTGTTCTCCCCAGTTTCGGTTCTGTATCAGCCTTTCTTTCCTTTTTCTCACTGGAAGGCTGTGCTTTCTGTCTGTACTATTCTAAAATCGTTGTTTTGTTGTTGTTTTTTTCTGTCTGCCACCCCGAAGGACTGGTCCTCTTTTTAAAGGGCTTTTGCACCTGACTCCTTCCCTTCTGATGACACCCCCCCCCCCCGCAGGATGTGCACATATGCACGTTGACCAGACTCACTGGGTAGGCTCTGCATTCATCCTTGTTCACAGTGAACGAACTTGAGTCTCTTTGGCTAACTTGATTTTTACATTTAATGTAGCTCTCAGGGAGTGAACGAATGCTGTTTGGTTGGTTGGTTGGTTTTTGCTTTTGTCATTATTATATGAGGTGACATAAGGGATCCTTAACGTAGAGTTACGGAACATCCGTAATAAGTTTGCTCACTTAATACTGAAACCACACACACACACACTCTCACACTCTCACACACTCTTTTAGAACACATAAATGCTGACTTTATAAACATTTTCTTTGTAGGTGGAAAAACTGGTGGATTCGTGGAATTCTTACTCTAACTATGATTTCATTGTTTTTCCTGATTATCTATATGGGATCTTTTATGCTGATGCTTCTTGTAAGTATTTTACATTTCCCTAAGTATCTCTTGCTTTGTGTTTCAATATTGATGTGATTGAAGTAATTTGAGCATGTCACAGAAAAGAAGGTACTTCAAGATTTGGTAACAGCAAATTTAGTTCCTTTAAGCATTTTTTAGTTCAGGCAATGATCTGGATTAATCTCTTCTATTTGCAAAATGGCCATTCGATGTGTTCATTCAGCAGAGACCGAGTATATGTAACAGGTACATGTCTTTTTGTCAGACATTGTGCCAAGCATCAGATATAACAGAAACACACACACTCATACATGACTTCAATATTTTTGACTGTTAGCTAGATCCCTAACTTCAAGGAACTCAATCTCGTGGCAGAGACATATAAGTAACCATATGAATAAATAGGATAGTAAACAAGTGGGGTAAGTTCCGTGATAGGACTTGCTGGGAGAGGCGCGGTAAAAAGGTACCTAATCCAGCCTGAGAGAGTAGTGCGGGCCGAGTGTCAGAAGAGGTATGCCCAAGCTGAGCCCTGAAGGAGGGGCCGGACAGGGGAAGGCATTCTAGGGTGGGGACATCATGGGCACGGCATGGAGGTGATGAGAGCACGTGGTCCGTTGGGGGATCTGCAAGTTGTACACATGGAAGATGTTTAGGGATGACACGAGAGAGGCAAACAGAAGCCATTTGAGGACTTTGGGATTGTGTCGTGTGTGGGAAGACCAGCAAGTCATGAAACCAAACAAGTATTTCAAGCTTTCAGCTCATTCATTTAGCAACTGCTCCCAGAATGCCTGCTATGTGCCAGGAATTGTGTTATTTCTGGGGCGTGACATCGTGGTGCGAAGGAAACCTGTCTGTGCTGGCATGGAGTTTACTACCTACAGTTTAAACAATTGACCAGATATATAATTAAAAGCTGCAATAACCATTTGAAGAAAAGAATAGGATGCTATGAGAGCAAAGGGGTGGCGGGGAAACTTTTGAGAGGCATGTGCCCAGCATATGTGCTGCTGTCTGAAGCTGGGTAAGTAGAGTCAGCGAGATGACGGGGAGCTTGGGGGAAGGACGGGTCACAGCTGAGGAGTCATGTGTATAAAAGCCTTGCTATGTAAGGAAGCATGAAACATTTGAAGCCTAAAGTGGTGGGAGTGAGCAGGAGAAAGGCGTTTGTTTAGTAAACTCATTACTGGGTGCTGAGCAATGGTTTAGCAGTGAACAGTGAAAGCGTGGGATATGCACGGTGTCCCTCTTTTTTTATTCTTTCTTTTCCTTCATCCCATCTCGATGAGTTTAGCCTCTTCTTATGTACTCCCTTCCCTGTTCCCTGGCTGCCATTGCCCACTTGGAAGTCTCTTTACCTGTCTCGCCTGCCTTTCCCCCTTCATGTTCAGTCCTATTCAGAGTGCTGAGCTATGGGCAATATGATATGGTTTTTCTTTGATTCTATAAAAGAATGTTTTGAATTGAAATTAGACACAATTGGAAAAAAATTCCATCAACTCCTAAAGCCACTTAAAGCAGCTCTTCTAAGCACCATGAAGCCCTTCACTTTTCTTCTTGTCCTCATTAATTTTGTACTTCCTTGGGGACATGAAGGTCACAGAAATGAATCAGAAGTTACTTTTACTTCTTCTGTTCCGTTAATTGGCTGACATCTTGAAGAACTTTTTCTTACAAAGAAAAATGGATAATGGGTGGGACTGATTGAATGTGAGGGCAGAAAGAAGATGCTGAGTCTGAGAGCCAGGTAGGCAGATCTGACTCACGAGAAGGACCCCAGCTCCCCAGTCTTCTCAGCCTGAACCCACCCAGGCCTCTTGAGTGCCAGTGACCCATGCGGGCCTCGGGACTTGGGCATTTAAGGAGTGAGTGTGTGCAGAGCACGTGTCAGTGCTGTGTGATCCTTGATACACTGACTCAGGCTGGTTTGATGGGCTCCCTGTGAATAAGTGACATTGTCTCCAAACTAAACTGTTTAGTGTGGTAAACTAGGGCCAGAATTTGTTGATAGAGACTAAATTTTTACTATTTTTTTATGACAAAGTTCAAAGCACCTTTAAAGACATCTTTGTGTATTTGGATTCAGATTTTTAAAGAGAGAATCATAAGTATACCTAAGATGTTTGGGCTTTATTGTTTATTTTTTCTACTGTGAAAGGAAAATAACATTTTATTACAAAAATACCATTCTATTATTTCTCTGTTGAGCTTAATCAGAGAAGAATATAAGAAAATTTAAAGATCTAGTTAAAGTAGATTTGAACTGTTATTGCTGTTATTTGCATTTATTGCATATGCATATATGTACACATGTACATTTGTATACATACACATGCTATATTAATGATATTTATGTTAAGGGAGTATGGATGGATATACACATAGGCACACTATTGGTACTCAATTGGTATTACTATTATGTGTTTTAAATCTTATTTATATTTATATCCCTAACTTGGTCATTTATATTTTGGGTCATACACATTGTGTCTAGCTTGTGTTTCCCTTATAATACTATCAGCACTTAAAAATGACTCATTCAAGAGAGTTTTATTAAAAACTTCTAGAAAATGGTAGCACTATTTTAAGATGGAACTCATACTCATGTTCCTTAAAATGAGCTTTCCTTCAGCCTTCTTTCTATTAATTGTTGCATTCACAGCTTAGAATCACACTTTTCTAAATGATGGAGCTGCTAAAACATATTTTGATTTAAAGGCAAACATATAAAAGATATTGTGGGAGTTGCCCCCCCTTTTTGGAAACTCCTATAATAATTGTTTTAATATACATTATATAGTTTACTTTTAGATAGTGTTTTAATTTTTTTCCCATCGTGAGAGTTATAAAAGTGTATTAAAATTACTTTGGAAAATGGATAATTACAAACAAAAAAAAATCACCCCTAACCGAATCATCAACCATCAAAACCCAATTAATACTGCCATTTGATATGTTCCTTTCATCCTTTTTTTCTTTTATGTTTTAAAAATCATGATTGTAATCATGTGACTAAAATTTTGTATCCTGTTTTGTAAGCCAAGTATCTTAACTGAATGTTTTGTGTTGCTCCACAATCTTTACAACCATCAGCTTTATTAATACATTCATCTACTCAATGGAATGGAATGCATCCTAAGTTATTTAAATCGCTGTGTTTTTAGACATTCAGGTTATGTTCTGGTTTTTCATTATTGTGAATAACACTATCCTAAACATATTAGAATGTAAATGTTTTTCATACACAGGATTATTTTCTTTGGATAGATTCCCATTGTGAAATTAGGCAGTGTTATTTGGATAACCCATAGGTTCCACGGTTTAGACTCAACATATTCACATCTGAACTTCTATTCCATCCCTGGCCGTTCTGTATAAATCTATTTCCCAAGCAAGCCTTCCCTAATGTTATTGTGTCCCCCTCTCTCCCTTGGACCTCCCTCCCCCGTTTCCTCAAACACCAAATCCAGTCAGTTCTACCTCTTGATGTCTCTTATTCCTTGTACTCCACCTGTCAGCCGCTGTCCCACTTAGATGCTCATCCGCACTCATCTGGGTGGTGGTATGTTAACTACCTTACTGTCTCTACTTCTGCTGCCTCTCCAGCCAATTCTTTCTACCTCTGTTATCCCTAGACAATCTCATCACATCCCTTCATGATCAACACAAACTCCTCTGTGCAGTCTTCTGTGCTGTTTGCTATGATTCTGTGACCAGGCTTATCTCTCTCTACCCCTCACACCCCCACCCACCCCACTCCACCCCTTCAGTATTCCAGCAGCATTGAAGCCCTTGGTTCTATAAATAGCATGGCTTTGCCATTTGATTTTAACATCTAGCATTGTCCCCATTCTTTGATTATATCTGTTTAAAAATAACTTGATATTATGTACCAAGGTTATTTGAAGGATAATATTCAAATTTCCTCTTGTCTTTATAACACATTTATGACTTTTTCTTAAAAGAACTATTTATAGTAGTTTGGCATAATAATTTCTTACCATGTGGCTGAAGGGACGCATTACTTTTTTTACATGTATGGTTGGACATATAATAGGTATAGTGGGGGAAATTGCTTAAGAATATCCTGAGCGGTAGGTTGGGAAAGCTAATTTGTGGAGATCATAAAAGAAATCCCATAGTATATCCTTGGGCAGTTTGGTAAGCTTGTTCTGTAGATGACCAGACAGTAATATTTTAGGCTTTATGTGTCTCTGTCACATAATCTTTGATTTCTATTTTTAACTCTTAAAAAATATAAAACTCATTCTTAGCTCCAGGGCTGTACAAAAAGTGCTTTGATATGCTCTTAGAGGTTGAAAAAGTTATCCTCCCGTATTCATAAAGATTTTAATCTCTTAGGGTAATAAGTGTTCAACTTGCTATTTGCTCTTTGAGTCTTGGAATTGACTTAAGTCAAGTGCTGGATATGATGCTGCATCCTCAGGAATTACCTTTACCCAGGTTGGTGGATACAGCAGTTGGAAGGACTACTCTACGTACCATCAAAAAGGGATTCATAAATATAAACTCATTTACTAATTGTGTATATAAGACACCGTGCAAACAGAACTGCATAGACTTGATTGACTGGCCCAAGTGGCTGCAAATGGAGAAGGCTGCTTATAACTTGCCAGGGTAGCACTGCTTGGATTGATCAGAGATGTCTGTAGCTGGCTATGGAAGAGCTGGCACAGCCGAGAGAATGAAAAGGCTATGCCCAAACCCGTGGGTGACTGGGTAAAAGTGTTTTGTCCTGAGAGTACCTTTTATCCTTGGCAAGTATACCGGGGTATATGGTTAAAAATAAATACAGAGGGTGCCAAAAAAATGTATACACATTTTAAGAAAGGAAAATACTGTATTAAAATTGTAATATTCAATATATACCGATAACAAAAGAGGACTAGAAATCATGTGTATACATTTTTTGGCACCCCCGGTATATACAAGCAAACTTTCACAATTCTTTGTAACTCAAGAAACAAAATGGACAAAAAGATTGTCCATCTTGAGATGGACAACCTCAAGAAATGAAATAGTAATGAGGATAAAGCTAGTCACCTGTGACTAACCAGACTATCCCTCAAACTCTGAACTATGCTGCCACCTCCTACCCTGGGAAGGACTTCTCAATAAAACATTGTTTTGCTTACCACTTTGGGACATCACTTGATTTTAGAGACATTGAATATTGAGTTTTCGCTACTGACATGTAGAATGATTAAAAATGGATAGGCTAAAGATCTTAAAAATATGTATGACAACAAGCTACTTATGAAATGATTAAGCACAAATGTAACATTGAGAAATGTATGTCAATGTTTTCTCTTGGTTTCAGGTTCTAGGCATCCAAGTGAAATGCTTCCATGAAATTATCACTATAGGTTATAGAGTCTATCATTCTTATGACCTACCATGGTTTAGAACTCTAAGCTGGTAAGTAACTCAAAAATTTCAGATAGGAAAATCTGACTTATTTCTAAAGTTTGTAAGGGAGGCACCCTGATCAGTCAGTGTCCACATAGCTGACCTTATAGATTGATTTTAGAGAAAGACAAATAGAACGAATACAATTGAATTTTAATAAGAAAATCACCTTTACACTCTCTTTCCAATACAACTATTTTCATATCTCATCTTTCACTCTTTTGTAGAGATACCTCATTTATATCGACTATATACACCACTCTTGTACTCTTTAAAAAAAAAAACAACCCTCAATATTGAACTCTTTTTCATTTTGTAAAATGTTACAAATATACGTAATCTTGTGCTTTATTTCCCCTTAGTTGACATGAGACCACACACAAAACTCTCTACAAAGATTGAAAAATGAGATATGAAAATTGTTGTGTTTTTTGTTTTGAGTGATCAGTGGTTCACTCAGTAGGGGAAAGCCCATGTTGAATGTCTGTCTCCCATCCCCACCCCTGCAATCTGGCCCACCTCCTTTTAGCCCCGTAGGCCCCGGGTTGGGGAGGAGAGGAGTGGAGGAGGGATGACCCCACCTTTGCTGCTCCTGTTTGGCCCCCTCTCCAGGCCCTGGGCCCCATGACATGCACCATGAAGGTACGGAAAGAGGAAGACTTTTTGATGGGGACGGTGTATGAGGCACTGTTGTAAATAGCACTGGCAGTTAACCAGCCCATGAAATATTGTACTCATATGTGCACAAATGCATCTAAAAATTAGTAAAAAAGAAATTACCAAATGATCTTAATATTTAAAGTTTTATATCCTTTTAAAACTTTTCAGGTGTAATGCTTAGTTATCAAGACTTGACCAGGAAACGTGATAATTTGATAGTTCATAATTAACCTAACTGGCCATATCTTTGAATATAGGTGTTTGATGAGTATCAGTCAGAGGGGCCAGTGTCTTATTGAAACAAATGTATCGCCTTTGGGGTTCAGAGTAGTCAAAAAATAGTTTCTTGATTTTGGTCATGGCTGATTTTTCCTTTTAGCAATTTTCTTCATGAGTGGTAAAGTGTACGGGAAATGTTAGGTAGATGAAGTGGCTGGAGAATAATTAAATGCCAAACCATGCAGGATTGATTATAAAGGTAGAAAAAAAGAGTAGGTCAGAATGGGCCCCAGTGATTGTAGAAGGCTTCATGGAGAAGGTGAGAGAGAAACTGTCGCCTGAAATAAAGACAGGCCTTGGCTAGAGGACAGCTCTGGGTTGGGGAAGCAGCAACCTCCAGGTTCTCGGTGTGGGACTGAGGGAGCATGTGCTACAGACGATGAGACATTCCTGGCCCTCCTGAGCGGAAGGTGTTTATTAGGGAAGAGTGGGCAAAAAATTGGGTTGGTGGGGTCAGGTAGCTTTACAGAAGAGTCAAAGTTTCCACTGTAGGGGAATAGAAAAATAGTAACACAGCTGATAGAATTGAGAATACTTGCTCTTTACTTTGAGAACAGTGGGGCCTAATGCCATCCATGAGAACCAGAGGGAAGCCACCCCTTTCCTCCTTTTCTGCTCTCCTGGCTACTTAGGACTGTGCCCTTCAAAGGATGAGGTACCGAGGAACTCCAACTCCCAGGAAGTATACCTCAGTGTCTCTTCCTGGCTCACACAAGAAGCAAAATCTCCGGGGTTCACCCTGTCCCTGGGGGAAGGGATATACCAGAGCTGGGAGGAGGGCTAGGTGCCTATATAGTTGTTAAGTTTCGTGTAGAGGCTTTTTACCTGCTGCTAGGAGTCCATCTGGAACACTGAGGAGTGGGAGAAAGAAGCCAGTATGTGCCAAGCTGGTCGGAATCTGGCTTGGGAGCTCTGCTATTAAAAATCATTAGAGCTGTGAGTAGTTGGGAGTGAAGTTTCATTTTAAATTTAATACCGTGTGTGTGCGTAGTAAATAAAGGTATGAACTAAATTCAGTAAACTTTTGTTGACAGGTAAGTTCATTAAATTTAAGACAGAAAAAAAGGCATTTTAATGGAATATATCCAGAATTGGTGTTCTGAACTTGGTTTTGATATTTGTATCACTATCAAAATGTAGAAAGAATAGTTTTGTGGAGTTTGAGGGGGAAAAAAGCTTCAAATATAAAAAAGCTAATTGTTTTTAAATTACAGGTACTTTCTACTGTGTGTAAACTACTTTTTCTATGGAGAGACTGTAGCTGATTATTTTGCTACATTTGTTCAAAGAGAAGAGCAACTGCAGTTCCTCATTCGCTACCATAGATTTATATCATTTGCCCTCTATCTGACAGGTAAGTTAAGGGAAATATTCTGTATTGATATGTAGCTAATATGTTTTACATGTTTATTTTTATTTATGTTATTTAAATTCATAACATCCTTTATTTGTTACATTTTAATCCAGCTTTTTTTTTTAATTGTCCCATGTATAAAGCTATTTTTTTTTCATTAGGGTCTTAAACAGCAGTTATTCCCTAATGGTGGTTTTAAAAAGTACTTGCTTAATAGTCATTCCATATATCAAAATTTTCTTTTCAAATTGTAGTAAAGAAACTTTTAAATATATGGACTGATAATTAACCAAGTATAATTTACAAATAAACTTTCACATTTATATTGCTTTGTCTCAAGGAAATAGAGTTTTCATGTAGATTTAAGCAGGATACTTAGTTTTTCTAACATGGTTTATTATATATTCACTACACACACACACACACACACACACACACACACGTATATAGATATAACATACATTTGCTTATAGTATGCTATGCCAATTTTTTTTTATGATTTCAGATTAAGAATCAGATAATTAGGATAAAGTTAGAATAGATTTCTTTTCCATAAAAGTTTACCAAATTAAATAAAAATATTGCTATTTATAGCACTCTGAAACTGCTTTGTATCTCAAATTATTGGCTTTTTAAATGTACTTTGAATGTACTTTTTGTTGAGATAATCGTGTCTTTACATGCAGTTGTAAGAAGTAATAGAAATATCCCTTATACACTTTCCCTAGTTTCCACCAATGTAATATTTTGCAAAACTGCTGTATAATATCACACACTTGGATACTGACATTATTACAGCCCTACATATGTACTTTTAGAAAGCAACCTTGTAGTAAGTTAGGAGCTACTGGGTTAAATGATGAAACTTCCAATATCAATCATGAGTAGTAGTATTCTTTATCTGCTATTTTACGTGTGGCCTAAGTATGTCCAGGTGGACCCTAAGCACCCATTTGTGTGTGTCTTCTTTTTTTAACTCCCAGTGCCTAGCGCGGGGTCTGGCATTTAGGCTCCCAATACATATTTGTTGGATGACTGATCAAGAGACTGAGGACAAGCACATTCATACACAGTGCTTCTTAGAGCTGTTTTCTCAGCACCAGTGTTTTGTTTGCTGAGTCTTGAGGCCTTACTGGTGATTGCTGAAGTGGTTAGCAACATTGAGAGGCTTACTCTAGCAAATGGAGTTAGACTTTACAACAGGAGTGAGGAGTACCCTATGCTGAGATATTTGTACCTTTCTCTCAAGTTATGCTGTGAATGTCTTTGAAATTCTTTTTGTTGAACAATATTCGAGGAGTCCTGTCAAAATTTCACTGGGTTGTCAGAAAAGTCATGATGCATTTTTGCAACGAAAAATAGAAAAAAATACATCATGACTTTTCCGACAACCCAATAGTTCCGACTTTGGAAAATATAGGCCTTAACTGATTTAAAAAGCAGAGATAGCCCAAACTATTTCATTGACATTGAATTTTATTAAAATAAAATGTAGGTATCTCCAGGTCTGACCCCTCACCAAGGCCCATGAGATTAAATGACTTCTTTACTAATGGACAGAATGACTCACTGACTAGGACCCAGAAGTCATTCTGACATTCATATCATTTTGTTGTAAAATGAATTTAACTGATAGCAAAGAGAAAATCAGCGAGGCTGAAAATAATAGGACAGACAGTTTCTCTAGAGTCTAGAGATCTTGGTGATTTGGATTGGGGACGCTTTAGAAATCACAGTACTCATGTGATGATGTATCTAGCAGTGATGGGTGACTAAGGCTTAAGATTTTTTACCCTTAATATCATTACCTTACCATCTATTTAACCAACTAGTAATTTTTTTTTGCTTGTATTTATGCATGGCCAGCTCTTTTGATTTCTTTTTAAAAACCATTATGGAGAAGATATGATTTGAATATAATACAGTAATACCTTGGTTTGTGAGCATAATTTGTTCCAGAAACAAACTATTCGTATTGCAAGACATTGCTCGTTTACCACGTTAAAATGTATTACAAATATTTGCTCATCTTGGGGAACACTTGCAAACCAAGTTACTCGCAATCCAAGGTTTTACTGTACTTTGAATTCAAGAAAACCAATAGACATATAAAATTAAATTATAGCTAAAATTAATGCATAATTAAGATTTCCCCCAAACACCCTGCATATCTTTTACCTCAAAGAATGTTGATGAAATCTTTAGAAAAATGTCACCAATTACTGTTCACAAAGGATTGTATCTCCCAAACTACTTGTAATTTTTTATTTGAAGACTACTAGACATTATACAGAGGCTACTATCATTGTACACCTTAAACTCACCATGCAGATTAATAGAACATTTTTAGCTAATATAATAGTTGGTTTGTGTGACAGTTTCTAAACTTATGCAATGCATATTCTCTTAAAATGTTTTTAAACAACTCAGATGTAGTCTAGTATCTGAATATGGGCATACATAATGCCATGTGCTTCTGAATTTATTTAACATGATGTTTGAATTGTTTGGGAGTTTTGATTAGTTATGTAAATGTAATGAAAAATATAGCCACCTGAAAGACTGAGGGACGAGCTAGTAAGCTCCAGTATTTAATTCTGGGTCCATGTTCATGTCTGTTTTTTGGATTATAGACTATATACGTTTATTGAATTGGTTAATCACCAAGAATCTTAAAAACAACTTTATTATGTCTTTGTATTTTCTGTCTCAACTAGATTATGAATTGAGATTGAATAGAAATAGAATAAGAATGTCTCTTATTCAATTTTTATATCTTGTGTCTGGTACATCTTAAATACAATAATTAATATTTTTTGATTGTCCATTTTTTTTGAAATTCCATCTTTTGGACTTCTCAATGCCTTTTCCCCCCTTTACTTCTGACTACGGTAGAAACCTCATTCTTTTTTGCTCTTTTTGAATATACTTCTCTTAAGTCCTCTGGGTAACTGGATCTCCCTAACCACCTGATCACTCCTTCATACTAGAGAACAGGATGTACACACACCTTTGCATGGACACTACCAGGCACAGTGCTGTGTACATAAATGGTGCTCCGTAAGTGTAACTAAACATATTATCAAGAACTGTATGTTAAGAAGTATTTTTAATGAATACTTTTATTTACAATACTATAATAAGTCCTATGATTTTATTTGGAAATATAACCATACAAATACTCTTTGTAATTGGGGAAAAAGTAAACCTATGGATCAAAATGTGCAAAGTTATTCTTTCCATAGATTTACTGAAATATCATACATATGTATTTTTAAACATTTAATCATAAAACACACACATAACTTTATGGTTGCAAATGAAAAAGTAAATTCATGTATTTCCTTTTTCAGACTGTTTTTTTTTTCTTTTCTTTTTTTTTTTGTCCTAAAAGAAAAAGGGTTTATTTAGCCATATGCTAGCCAGGAAAAGGACCAGGTCCTGGGACATGTAGTCTAAACCACCAACAAAAACAGCAGGGCTAAATGGACTAGACAACCATGTCCCCAGATTGTTTTTCTTTAGAAATAATATTTAATCTTAGATATGCTAGGAAAAAACTTTACACCCTCCCCCACCCAATTGGGAGAATGGTATTACCTTAATGTTTCTAGGAGTCAGATAATTATATATTTGATTAGAACACCCTAAAAAGCTGCATGTTATTGGTTGATTTAATGGTGAAATTGGGTCAGGTGAATTGCCAAGACTGTCCTGGATAAAATCATTAGGAAAATATTGAATGATTCTGCTGGTAATTTCGTTTGAAAAAATGCTTAAGAGTGAATGGTATTATATAATTTCAAGATAGAGAAAACCATACATGTTGGAGTAGTTTTTTGTGAGGAGATAACTCATAGTTAATGATGTTGAGACGTTCCCAGGGTTGTGCTAGGAGAGTCAGATGGGTCCATTTGGATAGAAGGAGAGGTTCCAGAGGCATCTGTCTTGTTTCTGCTTTGCTGTTACCCCATTTGCCTCTGAACCAAGTCTAATCTACACTCGTCCCCTTAACCATAGACCAGTGGCATAAAATAGCATAGAAATTACATTATTACGTAAGCCACAAAATAAGTCTACCTGCTATAGGGGAAAAACTTAAAAGCAATCATTTTAAAGAGGTTTTTAAAACTACTGGTGATCTCAGTGCAATGAATTCCATGTTTTAACCCCTCCCCTCCTGCTTTCTTTCTGTCTCTCAAGAAAGTGACATATGGCTTTCAGGTGTGCCTCTACTCAGAAAATGTTTCCATATTTTTTTGTAGTTCAACCAGTCAGATTACCCTGTAGGTGATGAGTAGGAGGTGAGGTAGGACCTGGGAGCCAGTATGCATTCTCTTCCTTTGTCACCATTCTTCACACTGACATTTCAAATCAGTCATCAAAATATAGCTCAAGGCAGTAGCTATTTGATTCTCTGCTCTGGTCAAAGTAGTGTAAACCTTGCTTACTCTAATAGGTAGAATGGCCTTGGTAAGTATAGCTTAGATATACAAAGTGTTTATTTCAAATGGGATAGGTTAGCTGACAATTCATTTTCTGTCTCAGAGAACTCACTCTCTAAAGATGTTGCCGAACAGAATGCATGGGTGGCTGTTTATCTGAAATTGAACTTGGTTTATGGATTTCTAATATCTACCTCTGTAAAAAATATTTATCTTTAGAATTTTACTGACATATTGGGCAAAAAGTGTTTCATATTGCCTCCCATTATTTTAGTACATGATTTTTAGATTTCATTTATTTAGGTAGAATTTTTATTTAGTAAAATTTTCTTCTAATAAATTTGTAGGATGTAAACATGAACAAAAATGCAGTTTGTAAATCTTGAAATTATTGAGAGTAGTATATTTTATTATAATTATTATAATACGGTTCTGAGAAATTTCAAGTCGCTCTTAACCTGAATTTTGCTGATAATGGTTTATGGAACCACAGGACTCTTAAGGGTCAACAGGATCTGAGGGTTTAACTGCTCTTTAGCCTTGTGATAATCAGTAAATTAATAAAGACCTGTGTGCGTTTTTCTTCATCTGTAAAATGGAGATAATAATAGGCACCTGCATCATAGGCACATTGTAAGGATTACGTAAATGATTGACATTTGTGAAATGCTTAGACAAGAACCTCGAACATAATAAGTGTTCAGTAGGTGTTAGCTGCCATAATAATTATTAATTTTTGTATTATGTGGAGAGTGAAACATTCTATACATACACTTGATGGATTGAAACAGCAAATAAATTTTATTCAACTGAAATTCAAGATGTTTTTCTATGTCCAGATATTAGCAAGGACTAATCCACTTAATTAATGCAGAGGATGTTTACTGAATTTATGCCATGGAATATGCTAGGCATTTTGGAGCATATAAGATCGTTTCACTCAAGCAACTTTTACTTAAAATGCTTAATATAAAAGTAGGAGAGATGGCATTTCAGTAAGTGGCTAGAGTGTGCCAGGTATGGTGTAGAAAATTGGCTCATTTAAGCTTAGTGAATCTTACACTTTGTAACAAATTGCACAACAAGCACGTTTTTTGTTCTTGAACAGGTTTTTGCATGTTTGTGCTGAGCTTGGTGAAGAAACATTATCGACTGCAGTTTTATATGGTATGTATGTACTACCCATTACTCTGTAGGCTCTATGTATGATAAAATCTCTTACCTTTAATTTTTTTTTCTGTAGTGGAAAGATAATCTGCTAGTTGATGCTTAAATGTGAGCAATTTTTGAGGATTTAAAAATTTTAACTTTTCAAAGTGTCCTAAAAAGGCTATAAAATTGAAACAAAATTTTTGGATTCCCTTGATTTGTAGAAATTTGAAGCATTTCGGTAGTTTCCTGAACAGTTAGTAAGCCTGGGAAGCATCTATCATATTTCTCTATGGAAAATAACTATGATTTACTAGCTCTTAGTTGAGCATAAAAGAAACAGAGCATATTATTTTTTTGGTAGCTATGGTTAGTCATACAATTGCATAATTCTTTTTGGCTTAAGGTATTTTATTCAGTTTATCATTGAACAGCATTCAGTGTTTTATGAAATTTATCACTGTGTATGATGAACATTCTTATTTCCTTAAAAGGTAGCTAATTGTAAGACCAAAATGAAAAATACAGGATTTAGATCTGTGAATTCATGTATTAGTAAGGCTTGTTTTGGATTTGGAATACATTTTCCTATTCTTTATGCTTTGCTTTTTTTCCATTAGACTTCCTGCTGAGCTTAGTGCTGAGAAATTGTAGTATTTCTTACATTTCTAATTTCTGGAGATACTGAGAGTAAAATGCTCAGTGAAAAAAGTCTAGAAACCATCAAGACAAATTAGAAATAATAGAATCGCCTATGAAAATATAAATGGTGCCTATTGGAGAAAAAAAAATCATGTATGCATTTTTAAGCAACCAAGGTAAAGAGAATTGGATCCTTTAAGCAGATAAAAATAAAACACCAATATATTATTTTCTGAAATAGAAAATAGGTTTATTATGAATAAATCAAAATCCTAAGAATTTTAAAAAGTCATTTTATAAATTTCAATCAAAATTATGGCACTAGTACATAGAAACATTAGCTTTTTTCCCGTTCACATTCTACTCATCCTGATGATGCTCAAAGACGGAACTGAAACACAGAGGACTCTGACAATTGGAAATTGAACACTGTCATTGATCAGAGCTGTGAAAATAACTTTCAAATCTGAAAAGATGGAGTTTAAGGACAATTGATCCCTGCTGGTTTGAATCATTGGAAGTTAGAAATAACTCTTGATGGGAAAAAGTTACCATAATGAATGCTTAAAGGAAAATAGAGTTTAGCATTTTTAATAACTGCAGAATGCAGCCAGAGGAAAATGTTCCCCTCTAAGTGCCATAACAACACCATAAAGTTCTTATTATCATTTTAATCTCATGATTTAAGATTATGGTTTATTTTTATGTTTTTTAATATATCTCAGTATTATTAGCACTCCATTTGTGTGTAAATTAAGATTACTTTTTTAAATGTTTTCATTGCTATAAGGATCCAGTAGGCACCAAAATGAATATAATTTGCTAATGGCATTTATTTTATGACCTTATTTTACAGAGTGTAACCAAAAGTCATGCTAGAAATTTCTGTTTAAAAATGCTATTGCTTTTTGGGCTGCACCGTTCAGTTGTGTTCACTAATTATCGTATTGTTGGGCTATTAACAGTTCGCATGGACTCATGTCACTTTACTGATAACAGTTACTCAGTCACATCTTGTCATCCAAAATCTGTTTGAAGGCATGATATGGTAAGGGAACGGTATTTGCTGCTTTGTATTTCTGTCATAGCACTTTTAAAACTCTTTCACGTTGGACAAACTCTTAACAGATTTCTACTAAAATGTGCTATTTGTTGTTGCTCTATTCCATTAAAATGCCTTACTGAATTCTGTGTTCTGTTTGACACCTGAAGACAAACGCTTTGTTAACAACTGGAAGTCCTCCTTATTCAGGTTCCAAATAAAATGTAGAAAAGCCTTACAAAACCTCCAAACCATTACATTTTCAGGATTTACTCCATTTTGATGTGACTTTTCAGGAAGCACAACTTTATTATTTACGTGCAGTGCAAAGACAACATGAACGTTTGCTTGCAAACAGTGTGCTGTGCAGGTGAAACTTGGGTGGGTCATGCTCTGCCTGCATATAGGAGTAGGTGTCCAGATTTGGGATGTATGGAGTTACTTGCTATATAGCAGTGACTTGCAGATTCAGAAAGCATTTGTAATGAGTTAAAATTTACTTTAAAATTATTAAAATTAATATTTGTTAACAATTAGAGTGGAGAAAAATGATTTTAAGAAATCTGACCATATTTTCCCACATTCTGTTTAAACCCATTAATTTAAATCCTTTACAGTTGATTGATTTTGTAAAAATATATTATTTCCTTGACAGCTTTGTGTTATTTACCAAGGGGTGTGTGTGTGTGTGTGTAAACAGAATCATTTTAAGATTGTCTTACATATACAAACTTTTAATTGATGGGGGAAAGTTACCAAAATTAGTAGTTTCTGTACAATTAGTAGGGTTTAATGCAACTATAGGCTAAGAAAAATTCAAATTGATAATTTTTCCTGAAAGAGAATTTGTATTGAGCTTGGTATAAATATATCAGATTATAGTCTATGTAAACAAATGACTCATTTTCATTTTCAAAGTCTGCATTTTAAAAATTCATTATACTGGGGGCCGGCCGAGTGGCTCAGTTGGTTAAGAGCTCGCTCAAGAGTTTGAGCTCTGAGCAACAGCAGTTCGAGTCCAGCCCGAGCTGAGCAG